ATTTGGTGTGGCTCTACAGCCTCGTTTTTGAAGTGGTTTTCGTGAGGCCGCGCGCGCATGAGGTGGTAGCGCGCATGAGATGGTGGGGCTAGTTATTATGTTAACTAGATAACTATACTTAAAACTTAAGTTAAATATATTAAGCTACAAGGGCTTGATACCTAGACTATATACTAAGAAGATAAAGTAATTATATATGATTATATAATTAGTTACGTAACTACGGCGTAGATAAAGGATTACGGCGCAGTCCGTCTCTTTAGATCCTCCAAGCTGATTACTTGTAAGCAGCTTGCCTTGGATCGTAACACTAGGCTCTAACAGTAATCCCACGTAAGAATATAGGATAGACTACTACGCTTTAAGATGTAGTCTAAGTAAGCTTGAACCATAATCTTAATTCAGATAAGCACAGTCCTTAAGTAAAAGTATAAACGTCAGCTGATTATTTGAAGAAGCAGACGTATTGTCATACTACGGAAATAATGCTTCTTTCTGCAGAGAGTCTGTCCTATAGAACATTGATCAAAGCAGGTCGTGCACTTACTTCCCCTAATACAGCTTGCAAGTCATAGTTTGTCTTGTAATTAGACATCGCTGCAGCCATTTTCATATCCTTCGCTGTTGTTTCTGAACATTTCGTGGTGACTAAGAAGGAGGAGACGGGATATTGGAGCGCAGATTCACCGAGACATGAACTTAAATTTACATCCATATCTGTGACATGTCATCCATACGACGTCACCGACAATTACATGTTGGCGACATGGATACAATGGTTTAAAATGGCAGCGGAACCTTGTGAGAATGTTGCCACGAATTCGACACGGGCCCGGGCTCGCCATTACCGTTTATCGGATAACAAGCCCTATTTAATCTGATGGCCGGGGCAGCTGGATGCTCATTACAGCTTCGCTATTCGAACCAAGTTACTCATTTCTCGCAGACACTAGTTATTATGTTATCCCCAAAACAATTGTTGTTTACTGTTTTTCTGGTCGCAAAGACCTCCTATCAACAAATCATCAACACCGATTTTGCGAGTGCAATCGACGTCAATGTGTGCCAGGAGATGGATTCTCACTCTGTTTTCAACCGTATATCATGGGCAACCAGAACTTGCCAGTGCACGACGCCATATAGCTTTAGGGCTAGTTGTGTTAGGACATACCCAAACCGGAACGAAAACTACATCGGAAACTACGATCGAAAATGCGACCCCAGGGATGAAACTGCCGTTTTTTGTATACCTACAGAAAACAGTGACATGGTGTTTCAAGACTGCACATGCAAGAGGGTGCCAGTGAAAGTAGGGCAGAAACCACCTGGAAAACCAAACGGAATTGGCTGCTCTGGCGGACTTAATTTGGGACAAACACACACAATATCAGTGTATTCCACGATCGTCTTTGCTAAAGGGACAACATCGCGCCAAGTTGACGGTTGCTACGTCCAGAACAGCTCTACAGGGGCAGAGCTTTCTGCCAACTATCCATGCCCTCTGAGCAATAACGGACACGTACTCGAATTCGAAAAAGGAGCGACCTACCAGGCGTGTGTCGAAGGCGACAACGATTCTCCAGATACACTTTCATTCCAATGGATTGTCACGAGCTCAATTGGGCACTCGAAGCGGGACGAATTCATGCAGGCCATCTCGTACGATAAAAGCATTGTCCGTGGTAATTTTAAGGGAAGTGTTATAGTCGTTGATAAGGATGGGGCAGAACTCCAGCGATTTGATTTATAAGGGCCTTAGCAATAACTGTAGGTAGATGGAATATGAAAGGTATTCTAAATACAGTAGTCTAGATCATCTACGATGTGATATATATATTGTTATATCAAGTAACGTGGTTCACAAGCGAATCGGTTGCCCAAGCGAATCGGTCGCGCCCCACCAGCGCGTCAACGTCGACACTACATCACATTATGTCTCAA